ATTGATATATATTAATTTTGGCTCTATTAATGTGTAAATTAAAATAATAGGTTAAATATTATGAGGTACTTAAATTAAAGTCAAAATAATACTTAGGTCCCTCAATATATAAGAAATTACTTTGAAGGACTTAAATTATACTTCCATCCAACTTTGAGATCCTTTTGTCCAAAGAGCTATTTTGGACTATCTATTTTGCAGAAAAGAAGACATTTGATGAGAGAGAAAAAAAAATAACAAACTTTACCCTTATATGACCACGATATATAAACTTGCATTGTACCTACTTTAAATCCAACATTTTACGAGATCCCAAGATCTATCATGTTAGGGTTTATGATAGTGAGTCCCTTATTCTCTCATCTAGAGCTGCTAAGAGTTCATAAGAGAGAAGGTACGTCAACAGTTATTGCAAATACAAAAAGAACGCTAGTATCAGAATTTCAGAGACAGCAAAGAATAAAAATAGGCATTACTGTTACTATCTGAGTAATGAGTGTGGTTCGTTTTTTGGATGGTGTTAGCCAGAAGATTCTTTGCATTCAACAACCATAGTTGAGTCTTTTGACCTTGAATTAAGGCAAAAAAAAAGCAATTTCACTTATATGGACAACTTGATGGGTGAAGAGTCAAGGTTGAAGTGAAAAATATGTATATTGAAGTGGGAAGATTTGCAGTGAAAGTTGAGTAACTAGAAACTATTGTTGGATGAAGCTTCTTTATTTTATGTGTGTGTGATGTTTGTTGTGGTTTTTAATCTTCTGGTAAGTATGGTAGGAAAGATGGGTTGGGTTTTAGTAGAAAATGCAAAGAGAATGCACTTTTATTAAATACACTTTCATTATATTTCTAACCAACCACTATTGCCATATAGTTTCATTTTATAAAAGTGCATTTGATTTGTAGGCAATGAAAGTTAGTATTTGTTTCCTAAGTAAAATAAGGCCAATTGAGCATGAATACACAAGCATCAATAATAAAAAATGCGGTTCAAAATCTTAAAGAACATATAATATGCAATCTTCAAACTTCACACACTTATATAAGCATCTGAAACAAGGCATATACTGTCATCTGAGACATATAGACTTGGCCCATGTAAAAAATTTACTTAACAATCTCCCACTCAATCAGTTAATTACCCTTGCTCCCTTGCACTGACTTGAAGCCATTACCGTATGTCCTATTAATATATTTTTGTGTTGCCCTCCAAAAAAAAAAACATATAATGCAATTAAATGATATTGAATACGCATCAAATAAAATTGAAAAATAATGTCAAGTGATCTTACTCTGTTAATTAGTGGGGCTTCATCACATGTCCTCTTATTATGGCAAGCGAGCCACAGACATGAAAACAAATTGTTCTTGTCTTTGTTGCTTGTGAACTAAAGGTCCTTCACCTTCTTGTCTAATTCTTCTCTCTTAAAGCCTTTAATTTTCTCGTTAGTTTTGGTGGGTGAAACCTTTCAACCTCTGTTTGAGGATCTAAATCTAGATCAGGCAAATGATGAATGACTGAGTAGGTTTTCAGATACATTTGAATAGTAAATTAATCATCAACAAAATCCTCTATATTAGTTTTCCTATAATCAATAGCAATATATGCATGATTACAAGGAAATCCAGAAATGGAGCACCAACCACCACTGCATGACTCTTTAATCAAGTCAACAAAGAACTTGAATTCCCTTTCCATCACCTCAAACTCATCATTACTTGTAGGTAAAATTCTACATTTCCTACTCATTCTTATTAGTTTATTCAAAATACCCACACTTTGGAGTTACTTTTCCTTTCCAAATTGTCCCTCTGGCATATCTCTTATGAAGCTTGACCATACACTTTTGCAGCATAGTTAATTAATAATTGTTACTACCCTAATCTTATCCACCAATTATTGATGGATTCAGATATGTGATTGATAATGTGTTCACTCTTGGACTTAGGAAAAAAGACATGTCTTGGCCATTGTTTTAGATGAATATTTAAAAACCATTGATTTGCTTTGCTTTGCTCTCTAACTTTTTTCCCATGCTCTTCATATCAGTCTTGAACTCCTTACTATGTGGCCTTGAAGGTTGTCCCAAACTTTTTCTCTTAAAAGCTACTTAGGAAAATGCTTTTCAAAATTCATAAATATATGCATGTAGCAAAAGTTGCGGGTGAAACAATATCAAAATTTACTCAATCAAATTCAGGTATGTAAATTTACACAAAAAGTAAAAATAAAAAATTAAGGAAAAACACAATTTTTTCCTGTTAAACATTATATTCCACTGCTTCCTCCATTTTCATACAATGCATTGGGCAAGAAAATCAAGAAAAACCTCATGAATTTGAATTTTCAGATTCAACAATGCCAAATGCAAATAAAAGCACACCTTTATTGCAATTGAGCAGTACAATACAATACACTTTCATTTTTTTTCTCATTTGAATTTCTAAACTCCTAATTCTTACTGAAGGTTATTATCATCCTTTCCTATCCAATAGATGATCAAATAATAAATTTCTCGATGGAAGCACTTTAAAATTGGACGGAATTCAAGTATCTGAAATCAATGAAAATGAAAAGATCTTGATAAACTATGTTATATTAGTCAAATATATAATTAATATAAAATAAACATCAATAATATTTTTTACATATAATGCTGTGCTTAATTAATATTATGAAAAATGATAAGGATCTAGAACCTAAATCTACTAATATATAGACATTGACATGACTGGCCAAAATGAAATGAAGCAATCAATGTAGGACTAAAAATCACTTGGAAAAAACATAAATATTTTAGATTTAAGTCTAGATACCTAAAGATGTCAAGCCATAGATACAAATGTCTATTTGTTTAAAATTGAATGAAATAAGAATGTGAAATATAAAGCATGAACTGTTGCAGAAGATTTTATTTTTCATAAAGACTTCAAATTGATTATGCAGATACCTACTCTCCTAAAAGAATAGAATTACTTTGATATTTTATTTATGTTGCAATTCATGAAATCTTTGAAATAAATCTAATACGTCTAGTTATTGCATATTTATAAGATATCTATATGAAAATCCCTAATAGATTCAGTTGTCTGAAGCATAAAATTAAATTCTTGAGAATTTTATTAATCAAAATATATACCATTCAATATGAATCAAATCAATATATAGAAGGATATGGATTAAGCGCCTTAGTGAATATTTATAGAGAGAGTTATAAAAATGATCCTATAAGTATTTATAAAGAGATCTGGATCTGGATTCGCTATTGTTGTAGTTTATATTGATGATTTAAACATTACTAGAACTGCTAGAGAGCTTTCCAACATTGTAGATATTTTAAAGAAAGAAATTAAGGTGAAAAACTTAGGAAAAACAAAATTTTACCTCAGTCGCAGATTGAGCATTTCATAAAATGATAATAACATAAAAAGATATTCTATATGGATAAATAAAACACATCCATTTAGTATACTAAAGAATGTGAAGTCACTTAATTTGAAAAAAAAAAAAAAAAATCTATCTCGAGATGATGGTAAAGAAATTCTTTGTCCAAAAGTACCATATCTTAGCAAGACATAGCTCTTCACTGTTGGTGGCAATAGTATGAAAACCACAATTGTTATGAAAAATAAAGTAAAATATATCAATTGATAACCTAAAGATGGTTAAAATTGTAAAAAGAATACAAATTATTATTTTTTTTTTATCACCTGGCCTTATTTTGAAAGTAAAATTTTAAACATAACCATTCACCAATGATTTAATCTTATGTTTATTTACAAAAATATATGTATTGTATTTTCATTATATATATTAGCCAATGATCGTATTTACTAAATCCACCAATGTGACTGTGAGACTAATTAATTTAACAATTGATTGTTCAGGACGCAAGAAATTCCATCAACATGAAAACGACATGTCAACGGCCTCCCTCTAAAGAACCTTGTGTTGAAGAAATAGAAATACAAAGCTTTAAAAATGCAAGTGGAGACTATAAAATATTAAAATTCAAGGAATTATTTGATTAAATAATAATTAAATTGTTAAAATTAATTATTAAAATGAAAAGAAAAAGTCGTTTGGATGATTGCCGTTGGCTTTCCCGCGTTTTTCAACCGTAGAAGTCATAACTAATACAACAAGACAAATACATAATACATAGGAATCTTAGCATCAACTCTACGCCCAATTGCTCATTGATACCCCTTAGCTACTTCATTCTATGCCCCGCCTGCCCACTGCAAATAATATTATTCTTTTAAATAAACAATTAATTAAACGAATTTGACATCATTATTTTTTTTTACTTGAATTAGAAATTTAAATCTTTTTTTTTTTTGAATTTTCAAATTGCATATGAATAGTTTTTACTTTTAGAATTAATTTTACATTTTTTTCTTTTTTTTTTTTGTCATAAAGGAAATATTTAAACGAAGAATACTGCTTTAATTACCTTTTAAAGTGAAAAACAAATATGGTACGTGAAGTAAATAGCTCATAGGTTCGAATTTTGACTCAGTTCATAAAAAACCCGTTCGATAAGTTTAATTAGCCAACTTAAGACTTGTTCAATAAGTTTGAGCTTCAACTTATAAACGAGTTATAAATTTTATTCTCACTATAAAATATAAAGAAGTTGAAATTAAATTCATTTTCAAGCTTGAACCTAAACTTGATTTGAGTTCAAACTCAAACTTGAATATATCTTTAAAGAGCCGATTTTGAACTTATCAGAAACTCGATTAGGCTCGGCTCAGCTTGTTTACGCTAATACACTAAATTACTAGCAGCACATGAGTTGAATATTGTGTATCTCTTGATTGATTTTACCAAGTGAATAATAATAATAATAATAATAATAAAATAAAATAATAATAATAATAATAATAATAATAATAATAAAATTAAAAGAGTGATGTAAAACAGTCAACAGAAAGCTAATAATAAAATTATTACATTCAATCATTCGTTGATTATGGCAGAGAGACATTAATTGTCCCTAATGTTGATTTTCACCAAGTGCAAAATATAGATTTGTCTTTTGGGGTGCAATTTCTTGTAATTAAGGAAAGATTCTCCTTAACTGGTCAAAATTATTAGTACTAGTTTGTTTTTAATGTATTGTACTAATTATTGTGATTAAGAAGTGAATTGCTGAAATTTGAAGAATGGTATTGTGATTGTTCTGTAAATAGAATTGTGAGATGGCAGAGGGAAAAGGGTTATCAGAAATGTATAGAAACACAAGTGAAGAGTTATTTCTACGGTCTTTAATGGAGAGCTCAATTGGGATGCCTATGCCATCCATGGAGATGTTAGGTTTTAAGAATATTTCTTCTCATCACAATTTTCGCACCGACAGTGAAGAGCTCTTCAAGAGCTGGCTCACCAATGGAGAGGCAAGCAATCATATTCCTTTTTTACTTATTTCTTTTTTATTTTACAGAACTCATAAAATGAAAAATATAAGTTATGGTATATTACAGATAAACTGTTCTTCATTCAGTTTTTTCAGTATAAGAAAATATAGTTTTTATATTGCAGAATCATGGGCATAATTCATCAAACATAGCACACCGAACCCGGCAAGCATCAAGAAGGTGAGTAGAGTTAATTGATTGCAGCTTTTTTATATAATTTGGGTTAATTTCTTGAAATCAAAATGTAAAATCTGAAGGGTGGATGGACGTATTAATTAGATTTTTTGTCGAAATCTCTGCATTAGTCTACAATTACATTATTATAATTGCAGGTTATCTACTGAACTAGCTGGTTTGACTAATCAACAACCTGGGATTGCTCTGCAAAAGAAAAGAAGCAATGATGTGCTATTTACACAAAATAATCTGGAAGCTGATGGCTCCTCCGGTGACCTCAATCAGCTATCAATGAGGTGTCTACTAGCACCTTTCTGATGTTACATAGTCTCGTTTGGTTCGCGGTATAGTATAGAATAAGGAGAGAATAGAATATCTAATTCTTTTCATTAGCTATTCTTAGCTTTGGTGGCTCAAATTTAGATGCAGTACATTTGTAATCCTAAGCTCTAGATATGCAGTAATTTATTATATGTAATAAATATTTTTCAAACTTAAAAGAGATAAATTTTATGCAGAGCAAAGAAGAGGCATTTGATTCCATGGAATAACTATTATTTTCTTTCCTATTCCAATATTCCCCGAACCAAACGAGGTCTTAGTTTCTGAAGAGAGTACTTAATTTCATTTGTCTTTCTTTTTCTGGTCACAATTGTTATCAGGAATGCTGTTGAAAAAAGTGTGCAGGCTAGTAATTTGTATCTGGCCAAGGTTTGTTTTATTTTGTTTTCTGCAGAAAGATGCATTTTGTTATCTGCAGATGTATATGTATCTGATAGATAATTTCTTTACTTTCAGGCCTGGTTTCACAGTTCACAACCAATGACAAGAAGTCGATCCTCTGAACTCCGGTAAAACCAATATCATACACAAGCTCATTATCATTCTATAAAATCATTTCATTCAAATTTTATACTAATACTGATACAAAAAAGAGCTTTTCACAAAAGATTAAATGAAAACATCAAGAAAGTGAATAAGTTTTATCATCATTCTATAGTATTAGCCTTTTTTACTTGTTTTGCAGGAAGAGATATGCTGCAATGCAAAGTACCCAGACCACTTTAGGGCATGGTGACAACAATTTGAAAGAAGAGTTTGCCAATCCAAATGGTTTCAATGACCTTCCTATGAATGGCACTGCCAACCATTTTGGTGCTTTCATGTCTCCATCCAATTCATCTTCATCTACTTTCAACACTTCACAAATAGGAGAGGTAGATAAAGTTTCTTCTGTTGTAAGCATGCTAAAAGGTACATTGGAGCGCAAGAAGCTCGGTAACCAGATTGAGAAAGAAACTGTTGAAGATAGTGCTAATGCAATTTATTATGGCCAACAAGTTACAAACAATGCTAGTTTTCATCAAGGACAAGGGAAAAGTATTAATGACATTACACAGACATTTCAAGAAATATCCTCCGGTGAAATTAAGGATGCTGGAGTTTTTCAAACAGTTGAAGATCTTGAAATGGAAGGTTTTGTAAATCCTATTCTAAATCCGATTCAGTTCAGCACAATTTCTCGAGAACCTTCTCAAAGTGAATCATCTGCTGCTGCACCAGTCGTTTCATCTGGTTTCGATGCATGTGATGGCCCTAGTAATTCAAGTCAAACTCTAAGCATTTGTGAGAGCTCAAGGAAACAAGTTGGAAACAATTTGAGTTCAGAGAATGGCTCTAAAGCTAAAGGTATGCACTTCATATGCTCAAGAAACACCTTATTGTAATTTGTCATAAAGCCCAAGTCATTGCTTAAATCCAGAAAATATCATAATTTAAGCAGCAAGAAACCTATGCAAAATGTAGGCATCTGAGAAACAGATATCCATTTTTACCCTTTTGAATTTGACATTTCAGTTTCAATTTAACTTGAGTTTTTTACATTTTAAATGCAGATATTAGAGAACGGATAATTGAAAATTTGAAGGATGATAGAAAGGTATCTACACTTTCCTAGATGGTGAATAAAGCATTCTTAATAAATGTTTAATTATTTCCTCAGTTCCTTTTTTTTATTTTATTTTATTTATTTATTTATTTTTTGATGTCTTAGAGGAGAGGGCTAGTTCGATATGGATCTGTAACATCAGTTGATTCAGGTAATCAATTTATCCTTAGATCTTCGCCGGCATGAGGATTCACTCTCCCACATTAGCTGCTAAAAGAGTTAAAGCTTAAGCCTTGGCATTCTATATGAAAATGGAAAACAATGTCATAGTGATCTGAATTAAAAACTGCTAGATATGTGTACGAGACAAATGTATGCATTTTGAATAGGGTTGTATTCTATAGTTACGATTCTACCATATATGTCTTTTTCATTCTGTCGAAAATCGATTTTACAGTATATCAATTTATACACAGTATGCTCAAGTACTGCATAAAAAACTATCAATCGTGCAGATGCAATAGTGTTAGTTATTATACAATCAGATGATACAATCTGACCAACAGAAGTTGTGCAGTGGACAAGGGGGACACGACTAAAAAGCGTAGGGTGGAGCGCTCGAGAAAGTAAGCTGAACTATTATCCTTTGATTATGCAAATCCACAATTTTAGAGTCTTTAGAGTCTGTTATTAAGTTAATAAACATTGACTGATTTCCAACCCTTTTAGCATCAGGACTGAGATATACGTTAGTGAAAATTATAAAATTTAAGGAACTAAGGCTACATTTGGTATACGGATCATGGGATGGAATAAGCAATTTAAGGAACTATATCCTATGTTTGTTAGACAGAATGGAACAAGGGATGACATGTAATGAGGGAAGGAATTCTCATTCCTTGTCTATTCCCTTCTTATTCCTATATCCCCTGCTTATTCCTATATCCCCTGCTTACTTATGCTAGGGATCCAGAATGAATGTGGAGCTGGGATTCCATTCCATGTAATAAGCATAGCCTAAAGTCTTTAATAAAGAAATAACTAAAGGACTAAAATGCAACTAGATTTTAGGTGGCAAAAAAAGTTTAGTGGAAATTTCATAATTTAAAGTTTTGAGCCAGTGAACCTCAAGGATGAAATTGCTAATTTTGAAACAATAGGAACCAAAGTAAAACAAACTGAAGTTGAATGTAATAAAGGGAAATACTATTTTGTGTCTTAAGATGAACATGGTTGGTGGTGATGCAGAATGGCAGAGGCAAAGGAAAGGAATTCAACACCAGCAATTCCATCTGATATGCAATCTGTCTTAAAGCGGTGTGAAAATCTCGAGAAGGAAGTGCGATCACTCAAGCTTAATTTGTCTTTCATGAATAGGTAATGATAATAGTAATGGATTAACTATACAATTTAATCCTTAATATTTCAGAATCAAGCTCTTAAACTTGTTTTGAAGGAAAAAGTACAAATTGACTTCTTGACTGCAAATATCTAAACTTCAGGGACTAAATTGTAAAAAAATCAGAGAAGTTCAAAGCCTTGATTTTTTCTTATTCCCAGTTTTTAGTACTGATTTAGTTTATATTATGCAAGATCTAGTAAGTTTTGATTGCATATGCTCTTTTTTTTGTTAAAAATAGAAATGCTTAACCGGGGATTTGTGTGTTTATTAATAAATTTTCAGGAAGGATTCAGAACAGACCAAGCAGATAGAAGAGCTTCAGAAAAGAAATGAGGAGTTGACTGATGAAAAAGAAAGGCTTCTTGAAGAGATGGAGAGGATGCTATCAGAATCAGGCAAAATGTAGAACTCATCCAGAACAAGTTGCAGCAATTTTCAATTGTCTCACAATATACATTAAGATACTAATTAAATGTGTGTTAATATAATTTAGATTCTGGAGAGAATGAGCTAACTATAAGGATGACAAATTTCTATATAAACCAGGAGATTGAAAATTTCTATTAAGATTGCAGTGAACAAATACACACACACATACACAGAATATGGTTATAACTAGTAAGAATATGGTTATTTTCTTTATTTTCTTTTAATCAATTCCTGAACCTAGAATAAAAAAGGACACTAAGGAGTACATTATAGTTGTTTCCATATTAAGATGCCCTATACTTTCGACTATTTTCTCCATATAAGTACATGGGTAACACAAGCTCTCAAGAGAATTAAATTTACATAACTTTTGTTTTTGAGGTTTGAGCCTATGAATTTCTACTCACAGTAAAGCAGAAACCTTACATATATAATACATCAAGCAAGCATCTAACTTATATCCTTGCTCAGTGAGGCCATATCCCGCAAGTCCGAAATCATTAAGTCTGAACAGAAAGAGAATCAGCACTTGCAAAAATGGATGTCAATTGCCGACTTAGTAATTATACGCTCGGTATATTTCGGGGATACCAAGCCTTTTTCCATACTGGATTAATAACCAACCAACAATAGACAAGTATGCCAAAAGAAAACAAGCACGCTTGAAGAAAACCATTTTAATGGTTTTCATAACCATCTGTGCTATGTAAGTTTGAGACAACCGGAATTTCATATGATGCAGAAATCTTATACAGCTGATAGAGATTAAGGAAGTTGAAAAACCAGTAACAATGCCAGCTATTGTTTCCCACCTCCAATAGTTATGTTTTCCCTTCTTCCGATCGAAGAAAGACTTTAAAATCTTGACAGACCTGGAATATATAAGCAACATTAAACTACCAAAAAGATGACAGATGAATATCATTTACATGATTTTGCAACTCAACCACTTTCAAGGAACATATGAAAGTTCTTAATTCAATCATAGGACTTTACTTTCACTAAACATTTTACATATACGTACTCTGGCTTTCAACACATCAAATGACAAATGAATCACTTAAGACTGAAAATAAATGTACATCTGTAAAATATGGTCACCTATACTAGCATATAAATGGGACAACTAACTCATATTAGTCTTAGAAAAAATGCACAAAAAACCCCAGACATCATTTGTAAATCATCCATATACATATTTATTACACATTTAATATTATGTGGATAGTCATAACCTTTAACCCAAGTCAACCCTAGCCCGGCCATTTACCCTGTTAAATAATTAAATTAGCATTGTAGCAACTGTCTGTGGAGGTGGCAGAGACATGGTTGGATGATGGTGGCAGCAATGGCAGCAGCGGTGGTACGATGGTGGTTGTGGTGTCGTCGACAGCAGCATAGTAGATAGAGAAGTGGTCATACTTGTACAGTTTCAGTTAATAGTTAAAACAGTAACCGATATCCAAAACTTAACCTTAACTAACCAATGTACCAATGAATTGGCTGGATTTTGACCCATTTAATACACATCTTAAACATAAATGACTCTTCATAACCCATACTGGGTTGCAGGCAGGAAATGCACATGGCTCAACTTTGCTACCTCAAACACCATATGAAGTGGTGAGATGAGATACATGGGGTTCACAACAATGAGCAAGTTTTACAAACGTAGTGGTTATTAGCAAGGAACAAAATGATCAGCAGACTGAGTTAGATGGCGACTAAGGGTGTACATGAGTTGAGTCAGGCAAGTTTACTACATGCTAGCCCAACACATCCTAATCAGTATGGACAAGATGGAAGCCAAACCCATCAAAAGATGACCCAGAACTAGGTAACTAAGGATCAATGGATCACATCGGGCTTTGGGTTAAACGGACTAAAGACAAAAGCAACACAGCAAATATGAAACTGTATCCAAAGGTAATCTATTGTATTGGACTTATCTAGCCTCAAACATAACTAGCAATTAAGGACCTCACAAAGGGGTCACAATAAGTTGAACAGTTGCACTTCAGAAATTATAACAATGTATTTTATAATTAATTTGTCCATTACCTTATCTAAAGTATGAATTTTTGTTTGATCAACTTTGGAGAGAGAGGCACTATCCCTATGAGTTCTTTGAAGTAATCAACTATCAAACACCTTGAGTCCAAAATCTTTAATCAAGCCCCCAATCTCACATTCAATCAGTTTTCAAGTTGTTAATATGTAAAAGATGAAGATTACCAAGAACAAATACAATTTGCACAACATGATCACGAAAAGAAACCCATACAAATTTTGATCTTGAGATAGATAAAATAATGCAGATAAATTGAGAACCTGATACGTCTAAGGAGTTAAGGGCATAGAGTGTCAATGTGAAACTCAGGATACTTAGATCAGTGAGGACAAGTTGGGACTGAACTTGAGGATCTCTTGCATTAGAGTTGTGTATTAAAGAGAAACAACAACATTTAGCATAAACTAGGTGTATTTGGTGGAACTTCTAGGTAGAATAAACTATTTTACTGCTCCATTCATCTCTTTCAAATCTCCCATTTTCCTTTAATATAATATCTCATTTTGCTGAAATTTTCTTGTACAAGAGGGAAAAAGGGGGGAAAAAGTAAGATAAATGGAAAAGCATTGTCAGAGGCAGTACTATTTGACAGGTAAGAAGTCCATTTAGTATTTTTGCAAGAGATTTTGGCCCATTGTACCTAATTGAAAAGAGAATTTTGTCGAGCTTTAGATTGGAAAAAGAAAATATTGGACAGTAAATAGAAAGGTTAAAAAAAGTTTTAAATGCATTAGACCAATGATATCCAATTATAAAATTGCTAAAACACCAAAATAAAAGTTGCAAAATTACTTATTTAGCTATATTAATTTCCTAATATGCCTAAGCAAGACTATCAAACTGGCAGTTTCCTAGAGAACAGGCCTTTGTAAGTGACAGAAAAAAAAAAAAAGACTACTAGGTGAAGGGCATTATTGTTTTGGTTGTCTAGCAAAAACTTATAAGCATGAAAAAGAAAAGGAAAGAGAAAGAAAGAAAAAACAGCCAACTTCCCACAAGGTTGAAATCATGAGAACAAAGGACGGACAAAAATGTAGAAGATATCATTTTTCCTCTCTAAGCTTATGTTCATTTTGGAGAAATAACTTTTTCTAAAAAACATTATAAATATGCAATTTATTTTAGAAAATGTTTTCCTTGTAAATATTTTTCAAAGAACTTATTCTCCGCTGTTTAATTGTAATATTGAAAATTTTATGAAACAATAAAATTTTTAATTTATAGACTACAAAAAAATTTAATATTTTTATATAATAGATTATTAAATATGAGAAAATAAAAAACACGTAAAAGAAAATGATTATTTGTGATTGTCACTGGCAACTGTAGGTGGCCACCACTGGTTGCCAGTGACCGGTGGAGATTGGTGGTGGATCACAATGGAAAGATCATTCTATCTCAATGGAAGTATGCAAGTGATCTTCCAGAACGAGGACAGTTGGCTGGCTCAAATCCAGTTTCTGCTCCTACTAGAAATAATCAGGTAGCACATGCTGGTTAACAGTTCATGACCCTTCACTTTAACATAGCAATAGTAAGGGGGAATAAATTCTCTCACTTTACAAGGCCTTAAATATCTGTTAAATGTATTTTTATGTTTATGCTAAAGGAACTATAGACCATGGTTTTAGTTTCATAAATCATCTATTACTAATACATTTGTCTGCCTAAGGCTTAGTTCGGCAACAACTTTTCGTATTAGATGCCACTTTTATTATTTATAGTGTTTGGTACCGTAGCTTTTGCACAAGTGTTTAGAGTTTGAGGGAGGAGATTACGAAACGTTATGCCCTTTAATGTTTGATGAAACACTAGTTAAATAGCTATCAGTTACTAAAACAACAGATTTTGCCAACAGACCCTAAATACTATGGTGCTGATTGGGCAGGTTTTCTGGATAGCCTTTAATCAACTAGGGGCTTCTATATTTTACAGGTAATAATTTAGTTATCCAAATAGCAAAGAATTAGCACACAACTTCTAGGAGTATGGCTGAATCCGACTATCAGGCTTTTCAGCCATCAATAGTAGGCAGGTGCATTCCCTATTGGACGACTTGCATATTGAAACTAGCTATAGTACAACTGTTTCATGACAATGTTTCATCAACCTCAGTAGTGGCTGATTCAGTTAAACATGCTCAAGCAAATCATATTTAAGAAGGATACCCACTTTGTGTTAGAATATGTACAATGGTGACATTGTTGTTAAATTCATTTATAGTAAAGACCAAATGACTGACATCTTTGCTAAGGGATATCAACCGCAGGCTTCCATCAGTTGAAACATAATTTATGAGTCAAGTCCACTCTCAGATTGCGTGGGTTGTAGAGATTTCTTGTATTTATATTTCAAATCAGACTAGATTGATATAAGTGTGTTTTGTAATCCTATCACATATGTTTGAACTGATTGCACAAGACAACTAATTCTCTTCAGTTTTATTTTTGTCCGTATAAATCCAGTGCACTAAAGGCTTAGGCCCATTCAGTTTCTTTTGCTTATCAATAAAAACAAACATCAATTATAATGAATAAAAAAATAAATGAAATGAAAAAAAAATTCCAGATTAGAACATTAGAGTTAGAGAATAAATCAACTATAGCCAATATCTTTGTATAGACTTTACAACAGATACAAACAGGCCTGTACCCAACCACATGAATAACAAATTATATTAGGCATCATTAACCAAAACCCATTGACACCAGGCAAGAAGGTAATGAATAAATGTGTCCCAAAGGATTTGATGGAAATTTTCCCTAAAGTGCCCAAAGGATATAGCACAAGTTAAAAAACACAAAAAAGATAAACCATTCTCTTTTTTCAATTTTATTTATTTCAGTAGTTTCCTAAGCATCAACAAATAATAAACAACACAATAACAAATTATATTAGTTATCATTGACCAAAGCCCACTAACACAAGGCAAAAAAGTAATGAGCAAATGTGTCCCAAAAGATCTGTTGGAAATTTTCCCTAAAGTGCTCAAGGATAGACCACAAGTTAAAAGTTTCAAACATCATAAATCATTCCCTTTTGTTCCATTTTTTTTAATTTCAATAGTTTGCTAAGCATCATCAACTAATAAACAACTGACACTAAATGGATCATCCAGAGCTATATATATACATAGTAAACAACTGAGACTAAATGGATCATCCAGAGCTATATATATACGTAGAAAAAATGACAGGAAAACTGATCTAGAGGGGGAAAGCAATCCACTTACATGGAAAAATAACGTCGAATCATCTCAAGACTAGATGGATCCTTTGCTTGACAAGGGAAGAAGCCATCAGGATATAGGGTCACTTTCGAAATGCCAGATGTGTACCAGCAGTCATAAGTTCTATTTACCTGAAAGGAAGACATGAACAAAAGACAGAAATAAGCGTTACAGACCTAAGCAACGATTTGATTCTAAACTCTAAACTCTAAAGAGGATCAGTCGCGCATCTGTCTAACAACCTAATAAGCATACCATTTTAGCAGATGTCACAAGCTTGGAAAAAAAAAATTAAATCATGAAAATTGAATGTTATTGCTATAAATGAATGAGACTAGCAGCTTTACAACCCCTACCTTAAATTTATCTTTGGTCAACCATGCAGCACCAAAATTAGGTCTGCAATTTAGAGGAAGGGCCTCATTTGGAGCTTCTGCAAATGCAAGTTGTTTCTGACCCAAAGAATGATCTTTATATTCCACCTGTTATTGCCAAAAATCAAATATTATTAACAAATATACACTGGCTCTAATGCAAAAAAATACAGTTGTAAGACTAGTGCAACTGTGCAAAAGCAATGTCATTAGACTATATAAGAACAAGAAATGTACAAAGGGCCGTTTGAAATAATAAACCAATGCAGTCATAGAAGTGTGGGTTATATAAAATACCTTGATGGTATCATTGTTCTTAAACTACTTAACATGTTATGATGGAAGTCTTATTTTAAATTCTCATGTTATAGGAACAGAAAGTATGCTACCTGAAAATTTTAAATTCTAATTTAAAGCTATCGAAAAGCATCAATTCCGTATGATGCCATGATGGTTGGATTTTGTTCAAATTTACTCCAAGGACGCAGATTTGGGTTTGGGAACATGATGAGCTACAGACATTACAAGGTATTACTGGAAGGGTTGACAAAAACAAGATAATACTGCTTGTGACTACGTAAAGAAGGCACAAAAGAAGAGGAACAGATGGTTTGACAAGAAGACTGGACCAAATGTCTCAAGTCCAATCCAGTAAAGGACGAGGAAACCATCTCAGCAATGTGGTGAACCACCTCAACCAATCTCCCACAAAAGGGAGTTGCTAGTCGAGTAGAGAGGACCACTTGACTACAAGGCAAGTTGAAAAGTTACATCAAGGATGGCAACTCAACGAGCAAAGCAAGAACTATACGGACTTGAAAGTGACAAAGGCATCACCTCATTAGGTGAGGGGGAGAGTGCCGTAGAATTGCTATAAGACCTCTTCTTGGAACTTGATCTCAAGTTCTCCCACTTTGATTTATATAATGTTATCTAGGATATTCTTAGGTGTCCCAAAATATTCTAGAGGAATCCAGAATATCATAATCCCCTAACTCTCTATGTCCTGTTATGAGTCTGTCATCACCAGCCCTAGAGTTCAGATCCACCCTAGTACTGGCCAATGCAGATTCTTCAATACCACCAATTCATGTTTTGCCAGTTAGGAAAAACCCGCTCCTTTGCCAAGAGTCCATAATCCATATATATCATGGTCATAACTCAAATTTGATATTGTTTTGCTGTGTCTCTAATAAACCACTAGTACAAGAATGTTGCTACCACATTGGCCAAAAGCTAAAAGTCCAAACAGCTAGTAGCCAGCCACCCAAGTGTTTATGTTCATGTTCTTTCCCCACCTAATCTTTTGATATGGGACTAACAGTGCGGTATTCCCTCGATTCAAATTGCCATCCTGTTTAGAGACCCTTTCTCCTTATACATTTGGCTTTGGGTTCCAACTTCCACCATTATAGCTAACATCAAGCGTTAACCCCAATATTCAATCCCCGATTTGTTAGTACACTTCCCTTGTGTGGCCCATGATTCAGATTGTGGCAATTCCAGATTAGCTCTAATGATAATAATAAAACCCACTGTCCATAGTTCAGATTTGGCAATTCCAGATTAGCTCTAAAAAACTCACACAACCCATAATCTTGACTGAGGCAGCCAATTCAAAGTTAATTCGTATTCATTCCCAGTGGATTAAATATAACATAGAAGGTTTGTTTTCTATTACACTATAAAGGTATGTTAAGTAGGCAAGCACGCACTACAATTTATTTACTTATGTCAAAAACCCAATACAAATCCAAAAAAATTATTGAAGGAAAAAGAAGGAAAAAAAATATATATATACAGTCAATTTTGTACATTTTTGCTTCAGGCTTGTTTCATTTTTTTCTAACAAAGCCATGTTTCTTTCTGTCAACAACTAAGGGTCTAATACTTTAAAAACATTAGTTGGTGCTAGCATGTTGCTAACATGTCAGAACCTTAATTGCCACATTGCACCACTAATCCAATGCCACATTAGCAATGGACTAACTGTAGTGAGGCAACAGACCCTTAGTTGTTAACAGAATGAAACACTGACCCCTTTTTGTTAAATAAATAAATAAATTGTCAGGCCCTAAAGCAAAAAAGAATAAAACCTCAAGTAACCCTTCATTAAATTTATAATGCAACACCTGTTTAACTTGTTAACATGCCTAGACCCACCTGACAACACCATAAAACCTAACACAAAAAACATTACAATATAATTAGTTGTTTCTTTTTAAATTTCCTTATTTGTCTATTTTGAAAAGATTTTCAATCTATCCTCTCCTCCAAATACATAACGTAAGGCCATAATAGAAATTTATATAATTTTGATATTAAATTTTTAGTATTTCTAAGTTTAAAAAGAAGAAGATTTTTTGTATACCATTGAAGTAATCTATGGCTTCTTTTATTAATTTGTTTTTTCTTTTTAACTTTCCTTCATTGTCTATTTTGAAAAGATTTTCAACCTATCCTCAGTTCTTCCAAATGCATAACATAAGGCCACAATAGAATTATATAATTTTGATATCAAATTTTTCAACAAGAAGTTTTTTTGTATACCTTTGAAATAATTACTCTATGTCTTCTTTTATTACTTTGTTTATATATCTATGTAGAATATACTTCTAATGCCATTTTCAATTTTCTTGAATATCATCTATTAAATTTCTAAAAAAATTGAAAATATTTTAAAATAAAATAAACATATAAAAAAATAATTTGAAAATTTAAACATAGAAACTAAAATTTCTCCAAAATGGCTGAGTCATGTAAATATGCACTTTAATTTTCTATCTAAGACCGTTTTCTTTTTACAGTTACCGAATTTGCTTTCAAATTATATAACACAATAATATATTCTAGTGTGTGAAAGACACCCACTAAAATTTAAAAAAAAAAAAAAAGGAAAAAAGAAACCGCAATTTGCTTTCAAATTATATAACCACATATATATATTCTAGTGTGTGAAAGACACCACTAACATTTTTTATAAAAAAACAAAAATGGTTAATAAGAAATCAATATGTAATGGCTGTCTCTGTGCTATTTTAATTTATCTTCATTTACGATTTAAAAAAAAATTTAAAAAAAAAAAAAAAGGTAAAAAGAACACATATGTAATGTGTCTGTGTATTTTAATTTATTTCATTTAAATTTAAAAAAAAAAAAAAAAAAACTTTGCATTGATAAATACAAGACAATTTAGGAGTAGATAGTAAATTTTGAATATGTGTTTCCTCCCCAAAAAACTCCAAATAAAAATGCCACACAAAAATATTAATATAGAAAAACATGCAACATACATTTCATGTGGCATAAATAAGAAAATCAAACTCGTTAAATGCTTTCACATGGCATTTTCTTGAGAATTCTTGGCCTACTTTATATAAATATTATAGATACTTAAATACATTTAATAGATTTTAAATGGTTTTCATAATTATATCAATTGCTTCATAAACATGTTGATTTGGATTGCCAAGTCAAGTTGTTATATGCCATGATGATCTCATGTAAAAACCATGTTCACACAGTTACTATATAAATACAATTAACCTAAATAAAAAGGCAACCACCACAAGGTCATGGTTCAAACACAAATTCTACCATTAAGCTTATCTTTGAAAATCAAATCGTCATGTCCTTGCTAAATCATAACCTTTTTTGTCCTCATTCATGTTATGATTCTAATTGCAAGGACTGGGACTTGATTCAATGCGAGATTTTAGGGTGCAGTTTATATGGGCTTTGGCTTCTCCAACCTCATGAGCTAGCTTTTGTGCTGTGGCTCTCCCAAGATTCGTACCATTTTCTCTCATTAGAGTTAAAGCCCTCAATGTGGAAAATTATATTGTGTAGTATTGAGGAAAGCAGGAAGAGGAGTGAGAGGGCCATCAAATCATGCCAAGTGAATAAGAAGAAAAAGAAGATGAAAGAAATGGGGTAAAGAGCAAAAAGGTTCACCTAGGTCTAACTACTGTTCCACCTAATCTCATTCATTAAGAGAGAGAAAGAGACAGGTTCAACTTGGATCAGAGACCCAGAAACCTTGTGCCTCAGGGATCACACCTCACCCAAGGTAAGTTTAATCAATGCCGTAGGGCCTAGGTTTACTTTAGCTGGTGCCTAGGTGTGCCTATGATTCACCTTCAACAAATATTGCTAGCAGTTTGAAAAGCCCTTTGAAACAATTCAAAGAGTACTGACATAGAAAGTATCCAGCAATTCCTTACTATTCATCTATAATTTATAGTTCTAATACAAACAAGTAGAAGATATAAAATGATATCCTTCAACTATTACACATGGAACTTCTGCACCACAAGCATGAATGAGAATTGTAATGATCAGGCGGCTTGCAAACTACTACCATACTTCATCTATAACCAAAAATAACTTTTTTTTAAGCTGAAATTTATATCAATGATTTAAAATCCATATCCACAAAAAAAGAAACTGCAGATCAGAAATTCTATCAAATGATCCAAAAATATAGAAAGAACTCACATTTCCATTCCTTGTTCAGGGGAAGAACAAATATTTTAAAATGAAGAGATGATCTTGAGAACAAAGCATATCACCTCAAACACTGAAGCCCAATAATAGTCATAACGACATCGAAATTTACTTCTGTCAAATGGATAAAAGACATGCTTGGCTTTATAATTCAACAATCCAAGTCCACACACCTTAGATGATCTAAGATCCACACCTAAAAAAAAAAAAATAAACCTGTTATACTTGGCATTTCAAAATAAAATAAAAGAAAAAAGACAACTGAAACTTTTTTTTATTATTATAACTGAGACTTATTATATTAAGGTTTACACAAAAACATGAACGTGCAGAATGCCATAGGGATTATAATATTTCAACCAGAGTGAAGACATGATCCAACTCTAATAAAGGCATTGCATAAATGTGATTAGAGGCCCACGCCAGCAGAACATGTTTGAGATAGATGGAACAACATACAGTAGGCTTCATTGAATTTGTCTTGCCCGGAAATTTACGCTCAAGTCAATAACCAATGACTCTTTTTATTCATATGATCAGGATGACTTTGAAATTTTGCAAGTTGAATATGTAGTCTATTCTACAACTAAGATATTCTTGAAGCTAAGATTTTCCCCTTTTCTATCTTTTCGAAATAAACTCAAACAGGCAATAGATTTTAATCCAATAGAGAAACATACCAACGAGAATTATTTTCCAACTCCAAGTTATTTTCTGAACAATATATAAGCATCTAGGCAGTTTTATAATTATCTAGGGAACCTATTTACTTTCTCAGGCTTTGATTAATGGAGATACGAATATTAGATTTGAAAGTTCTCTTTCCTCTCATTTTCTTCTTTGTCCTTCTTTCCCTTTCCTACTACAGTGCCTGGTATACTATTTTCAACTTCAAACACGGCCGTCAATTTCACCAATTTCTCAAATCAGCTCTAATGGAATTCTCTAACCTAAATTCCCCTTCTTCTTTAATCTTGATCTAAACTACATCAATTACTTTTTTGTCTGAATCTGTTCTTCATTGAATATTTGCATTCAAAAAAACAAAGTCAAAGCACCCTGTTTCTACTTCAATTTCCCCTATTGATAGGAACAATTTTTCCCCCAACCAAACAAAGTGATCAAATGAAAAAAAGATGAATTTAAACAAAGCATAATATGAGAGAGACTTACTGCTGGAGACTATCCTGCACTGAGAGGGAACAGAGATGGGAGTGGTAATGGATAAGTGAGTGGACAAAATTGCTACCAATCCGATAAATAATGATAAGAAGAAGAAGAAGGCGAAGATTGGAAAAAGAAGAGCTAAACTCAATCGTAACAGTACATACTTAAAACCCTTCTTCCTATCTTCTGGGGTCTCAATTTCCATCTCTCTTTCGTCATCAGGATCCATTAATAGCTTTTTGATCAAAACAGAAAATAATTCTATTTGAACTTTTGGAGGTCAGCGACCAGCCACCGGAACCATTTATCCGGTGATCGGAAGATTTTTGTGTCTGAGAGAGCGCCAGGGGGCCTCTTTTATTTTAATTTTTATTCAAGGGAAAAGGGAAAAGGATTGATACTTTGAGAGAGTAGACACCTTGTGGGGCCCGCGTAAAATTGGAGTCAATGGACAAATGGTCCATTAGGACTTGCATCTTATATAAAGTCAGTTATATGTATCTGTGCAATTGTATTTTTAATTGATTTAGATTGATAATTTTAGAGGAAATTTTTTTTTTAATCACCGGTGTACTCTATTAATAGGAACCGTCTAATTCGGCCGAGGACTTAATCACGTATAAGGCTTTTTGACTCTTCATGCAGATATTTTTAGTGGGTCTCGAACCGAGAGCTCTTCCTACATATTTAGCCTGCATTGACAGTCTATAAGTAATTTTAAAGGAAATTATTAATATAAATTTTTTTTCTTTAATCACCCGGTGTACTCTATAATAGGAACCGTCTATTTTCGGCCGAGGACTTTTTACTATCCTATCGACCTCTTAATCACGTATAAAGGATTTTTGATCCTCTTCCTGTCAGATATTTTTTAGTGGGTCTCGAACCGAGAGCCATACTTTCCTATATTTAGCGCATTTACAGGTTCTATAAGTAATTTTAAAGGAAATTATTAATATACTATTATACCTTTATAATATATCCCCAACTTTAAAAACATATATTAGATTATATTAGTTATTGATTTGCCAGATATATATTTGCGTTTCTTTAATTTAAAATTTTACTTAAGTATTTTAATTAAACTAGTCACATGCCCCTTGCATTGCTCGAACAGTAAAGAATCTAAAAAAAATTATAAAGAATCCAAAATAATATTATGAATTTACTGTTGCATTCTTAAATATTGATGTGATTGCTTACATAAATCAATTAGATTCCAGCGCCATTAGAAATCTATGATTCATTTAACATTACAAAGTTGAGATGGGAAATAGTTTAACATCTGTCAATCTAAATATCAAAAAGAATAGATATATAGGAAAAGGCACCGATTGAGAAAAAATCCTTAACTTTAAAATAATATTAAGGTTATTATTCAATAATATTATTAATTGCATTATTATAAAAAAGTAGCTCAAAAGTTCTATTAGTAGTTAAAAAAAATTAATTGTGTTATTAGTTTTGTTAAATATTGAAAAAAATCGAAGAACTTATCATTAATGTTATTAAAAATATTAATTTTACTTCTATTACTATTCAAACTAAAATAAAGAAAAAATAGAAAAAAAAAGTGTCAATCAGGACTTTAAAGCTTTAGATTTAAGTCCTGTCAGCGTCTAAATTTCTCTTTTCATATATTTAGATAGATAAACGATGAAAAGTGAAATTATATATATTTTTTATTTTCAATTAATAAACTGAAATACTTACAGTATAATAAAGGCTAAAACTATAAAATTACCCTCAATCTTACGACATGTTACAAAATTACCCTAATTTGATATTTATATCCCGAACACCCTAGTTTGCAAACGTAAATATATTCACTCTAATTTTAATTTAAAATTAGGATTTCGAATAAAATAATATAAGCATACAACCCATAACAAAATCTTGGGTTAACTTAATCCCTGGTATAAAACTCCCCATTTTGACTAACTAATACCTCAACCACTTCCTCTTTTCCCAATTTTCATCTCCCTCCATTGATCTTCACTCCATACGGGGAATTATTTTTGACATTTTATCTAGAAATCTCTTTCCTTTTCTAGTCAAATCAACAATGATACACCCTCCTTTCTATCCTGCCATTAAAGAGGAAGAAGAGCAAAACCAGAAAAAAATAATCAAAAATTTGTTGAAGTATAGAAGTAAGGACAAACCAAATTAGTATTTCTGCTTTTGATTTCTATAATGTGAGAAGATATACTGGTTTCCAAAAAAACAAAAAATGGAGAGTTGATGATTTAAACAGTTTGGCTCTGTTCAGCAAGATCGTTTAGAGTAGTGTTTAGTGCTTTAATTGGGTTAAAACGCTGTTTTAATTAATTATTGTGTTCGAAAATATCACATATATCATAACATTTAGAGTTTGAGGCAGTGTTTCATGAAACATTATCTTTATTAATATTTAGTGTTTTATAAATTTTTTAGTCCGCCTATATCCATCACTTGTTTTTGTCTTATTTTCTATGACTTTATCATTTTTTGTCTTTTATATTAACTAGCTAATCAAATACTTATTTTTACTGAACACTTATTTTAAACCACTATATAAATAACTAACCACTAACAGCTAATATTTAACTGCTAACAGCTAATAAAACAGTTAACAGCTACTACAATAACTAACATCTACTAGAACCGCTGACATTGCCTAATAAAGCCTTTGTAAAGAGATCCAACAATAATGCCTCTACTTCTCCCCACTTTTCTTCTTCTTCTCTTTTGATTGTTTTCTTTCTTTTTTTTTTTTTTTTTTTTTTTTTTTTTTTTTTTTTTTTTTTTCTAACACGCTATATATTAAACTACGCAACCACATATCCATTGCAAGAAAACCCACCCCACTCTCCATCTAACACCTTTTCCCCTAACAGTAATTAAAACAGTTTAACAGCTACCACATACACCTATACATCTCACTAGCAACCTTCATAGACTGACTATTGCCTAAATTTAAACGCCTTTGTAAAGAGATCCCAACAAATAATGCCATGTATCTACTTCTCGCCCCACGTTATTCTTTCTTTTTCTCTCTTGATTTGTTTTCTTCTCTTTTTTTTTTTTTTTATTTTTTTTTTTTCTCTTTTTTTGCCCTCTTGATCTCAGGGCCCATTTATGAAGGAAACTTGAATTAGACATCCTCTCCTTTGACAAAGTTTTTTTAAGCTCACTTCAAATCATGCAGAGGATTGAATTAGCCATGGTTTGCGTTACTCCCTTCCGTATGCCTTTGTTATCTACTTCAACGATTTCAAAAAGTTCGAACCCGATTTAAGTTTTTCTTTTTAACCTCTCATACATTCAAACGAGCTTGAATTCCAAACCTCTCATAGTATCTTTTTTTTTTTTTTTTTTTTTTTTTTTTTTTTTTTTTTTTTTTTTTTTTTTTTTTTTGCTTGATCTCATGGATTACTAGGGAAACTGTTTAGAATATCTTTTGACAGAGTTTTTTAAAGTCACTCATGAAGAGGATGAAGTAGCCATCGGTTTGGTTAATTCCTTCTATGCCTTGTTTCTCTTACGATTTCAAAAGTGCCACCGATTAAGTTTTTCTTTTTAACCTTATATTGAAACGGTGAATTTTGAGTATAGGTTAAGATAACCCAAAGTTATGTTGTGGGTCCTATATTTATATTATTTTATTTTAAATCCTAGCTCCAATTTAAAACTGGGGTGACAATATATCTAACTTTGCAAACCAGGGTGTTCGAGATACAAAGGTCAAATTATGATGATTTTGTAACATGTCACAAAGTTGAGGGTTTTTTTATAGGTTTAGCCTATAATAAATTATTGTAGTTAATTCAACTAACATACCCCTTTCATCTCATATATATAGGTCCAGTTTGACTTTCACACAGATTGCAAAAATTAGTTAATGTAGTTAAACTATTTTTATTTAGTATTTTTTTTTCTAAAATAGTCTTCTACAATATTAAAAAATTGTATGCACGATTGAAAATATAAATATATATTAAATAGGAGTATATTAAGAAATTAAACCATAAATGATCTTTTTTTTTAAAAAAAAAGACTATATTTTGGGGCAAATGAAAAAGAAAAGCGAGCTTATGTATGGGACGAAGAGAGTAAATATTTATTTTTTATTGGGATTCTCATGTATTCAACTAAAATGTATTCACGTAAAAGTCTAACATGCAAGTGGTTTTTCTCAATGGCTTTGAGTGCTGTATATGAACGGTGAGCGACGACTGGATAAGGATATGACAACCATGGTGTTATCAAATGATGAGATCCAGAGATAGCTTTCAATACTTCAGCTAATGCAGATTTCCTCTATATTATTGACTATGTCTTGTTGGTAAATTGTTAATTGGGAGAAGAGTTAATTATGGTGCTATGAAATCATCATGACAACTCTATGGCAGTGAAGCCGCAACATTTGCATTGCTAAAATTGAATCCAGTATTTTTCCTTTTTAATTTTTTCAGCAGGTTGACTTGAATCAAGTTTAGAAAGGTGGTCCTTGGTCTTTTTTACAAACCATCCTTTGGTCTTGCAAAAGATCCCTGAAGGAGGAGATCCCTCTCAAGTCCCATTGCACTTTCATTAGTTTTGAATTCAAATATATGAGATGCCTAAAGGGACAATCTCTAAAGTGGTGGCAAAACAACTTGGTGAGTTTCTTAGAGAGTTTGTAAAGTATGACTCAAACAATGATCTCTCTTGTTGGAGGACCTGCATGTGTATATGGGTGAATGTCGATATTCATATACCTTTTAAGAGGTGGAAGGAGGTCAGGAAAGCTGATGGTACCTTGACGAAGATCAACTTTTGATATGAGCGGCTGCCAAATTTTTGTTACTTATGCGACTGTTTAAGCCATGGTGAACATGTGTGTGAGCTCCTTTTTTTTTTTATGATCTAGTAAACAAGCAAACTCTGTCAAACTCAAATGTCTTGTTTTTGTTGCAGGATAAGCAAGGGCAATAAACTTAACGCGCTGATTTCGTTACTACATTATTTTTTCACCAAAGTTTTTCAAAGCTAATATTGCAAATCAATTTTCAAATTTCAAAATAAAAGGCCGGACTTCTAGTTGTTCTACCAATCCCAGTGATATCTCTATAAGCTTAGATAATGAACTAAACCGGTACTTGCATTACATCCAACTAGATATTACTTAGGTTTTAGATTGAATTAAGTTAAAATCTCTCATATTGATCATGATTTCATGATATTTGAGTTTAAATTATGATTCTTCTTTGAGTATTTATCATTCTGGCTATAATTATTATACTTTTTAGTGACTGGAAAACTTTCAGCCACCATAGACAGTGGCTCTGCAATTGGCCGGTGAGGGTTTTCTATGGCTAAAAAATTTCAAATACTGAAAATATTGAGTCTAACCCATAGATTGCAAAGGTGTAATTGGTTTTGCTATCTAACTCCATTTAACCGCAAAATCACCAAATGACACAAATTGAAAATTATGTTTTTAGGCCGAAAACATCACAGAAAATTTATTGTATGAATGCTAAATAATCTCAGAATGACTCTTATTGTTAGAAATGATGTGAACACTGCTTAGGCTAATTAAAATAGGTTTGAATTTAGTTAAACGGTTTAGAAGCCGAGAACTCTTTGAAAAATAATGAAATAAGAGTTATTAAACATATTAGATAACCTATATTAGGTGGTTTAGTAAATGATGATATTTATGGCTTTCGTTAGCTAAAAAATGGAATTACATTGTGGTTATATAAATAATTATTATAAGGAAAATGAAGATTGTAATATATATTTTAGAAGTATATTTATATTGTTGAATATTAATAATAATGATGATGAGACATTGGATCTCCGGATAATTGATGATCATGACGAATGGGACTAGTTGTTGTGAATTGCTTGATGATAGGCTTTGCGAATTAATTGTTGAATTGTGGTTTTAAAAACAGATGTTTTAGTCCAATTTATAGGGGATACTCCGTCAGATTTTCGACATAATTTTCGTAGTTTTAGAATACATAAAAATTTGTATCAAATAACAACATTTACAATCTAAAAGCACTTCTTTTTAATGTTTGATACTATCTTTAGATCATCTCAATCTTTTCTCGACCTCATCGAACCATAACCAGTAGTATATTTGTATTTTCTTCAACCACTGTGATTAGTAATATGTAATATATAATCAAATTCATCCATGCATTTTATTTAACACTGTTACATAGTAATTCAACATTTATGTAATATCTCTTATTTAAACATAACTATGGATGCATCTTTATGATTATATCGATTGAATTACTTAACGATGATGCATGATTTTGTGATTTTGTTGTATTATAATATTGTTTGCATTGTGCGAGGTGGTTGGGATGATGCATAATCACTAGTGTTTGCCTAAGAGTGTAGGAGGCTCGGTCTGTGGCCCTGAAAGCAAGCGGAGTTGCTCGGTCCTAGAAGTGTGAAATTTTGAAAAAAAAAAGAAAGAAATGTGAGTGATTCTAGGCGGACTAAACCACTCAATATGTGATTTAAATATTACTGTTTGATTACTTGTGATTTGATCCTGTTTGTCATTGTGTGAATGCAAATTTGATTTTGTAGAAATTCTAGGAACTTATCATACACTTGCTTGCTTGGACTGTATGTTATATATTACTATTCACTGAGTCGAGGCACTCACCCCTGTTTCACCTGATTTTCAGGAATCCAGATTACTGCTTGTACAGATGCTAGAAGCTCTATTTTCTTTCTCCATAAAGCTACATAGTATAAAGTCTAGTCAAATAATAGGGTCTTCATAATTGAAATTCTCTCATTATTATTTTATGTTTTTAGATATCCGCAATTATAGTAGAAAAGTAGCTTATGTATTAAACTATCCAAATAATGTGTGAATCCTAAAATAATGATTTAAAACTTATAAATGAAATATTGTGTTTAATATTGACTAGCAAGTTCCATAAATACTCTTATGAATGTTGATAGAATGATCGTGAAACAAGTTCGGGATATTATAAATGTAGAATGATGATGTTGTTATGAATTGGGCGTCGATTTAATCCTTGATTGTTTATGTTTGAGATGGACTTGCCATGTGTATGTATATATATCTACCTATCTATCTATACTATATATAAAAGTGAAAATGAGGAAGAATAATGAGATTGCCGATATTGTCATTGTGACATTTAAGTTATCCTAAAATAACTTTAGTTTTAATCAATTAAAAAATTTTAATCTAAAAGTATATATAATATTTATATAATTTGATTGGATTTTTTTTTTGACTTTTTTAATAGATAAATAAATATAGATAAGAAAGTAGTTAAAAATTTTAAATTTTTACTATTATTATCTTGTGACTACAAGTTGGATATTATAAATGTAACTCAGACATTGATGTGTTGTTATGATTGGGCGTTGATTTAATCCTTGCATGATTTATGTATATGAGATGGTACCTTGCCATGTTACATGCTGCTATATATCTATCCTATTCAATTATTCCCTACTATTATATAAAAAGTGAAAATGAGGAAGATATATGAGATTGTTCCGATCATTGTTTCATTTTGTGACATTAAGTTACTTCCTTAAAATAACTTTAGTTTTATATCAATTAAAAAATTACTTTAATCTAAAAGTATTATATTATATTTTATATAATTTATTGGTTTTCTTTTTTATGACTTATTTTAATGATATACAAATATAATAAGAAAGTAAGTTAAAAATTTTAAATTATCCTCTCCCACTATCTATTATCTATATTATATCTAATTATTTCTATATTTCATTATATGATTATGTAAATTATTAATAATCAATTTATTAATTATTATTTTTCATAAATTTAGCTTCATGTATTATTTATTTTACAATGACAAAATTATGAGAAGTAAATGACGGCATTTTGAAAATTTTTATATATTTTTTTGAATTTATTTTAAATACCAATACTATCTAGACATGGATTCTAGATGATTTTTAAAAAGCGGTATGGAATGTAAAATTTTTTTTATATTACAAAATAGCCTACTCCTCAACCCTTTAAGGCTTAGGCTAAAAACATTAGATAAAACAATTACTATTTTTTAAACATCGTTGAACTTTGATATAGTTATAATTGAAATCTATTAATTTCAAATTTCTAATTTCTATAAAGATATTAATTTTTTAATGTTTTTTAATATGCTTCATATTTTCTTGATGGCTAAAAAAATAAATAAAATAAATATTTTATAAATATTTTCAATTTTGATTTTGATTGGCTAAAAAAATAAAAAAATAAAAAATATTTATAAATATTTAATTTGATTTATTATATGACTTTCTTATTCTATTGTTAACGTATATTTATTTATTACAAGAGATTACAATGAAAGTTATTACCAAAATATATAAATTAATTACAAAATGTATAATAGAAGCTATATGATGATTTTTATAGATCAAAATCGGTTTTTCCTTAAAAAGCAACTAACGTATAATAAAAACCGTATGAATCAGTACATTAACATAGAAAAAAAAAATTTACTGTATACATAAAGTGTAATATAATTTAACCACTCAATTTAAATAAAAATTTATACTTTAATATTATATAAATAAAAAATTAAATGAGCATAAAGAATGAATATATAACGAATGTAGTCAATGTGCAATGTACATTATAAAGAAGATTAGTATATATAAAAGTTTGTATGGTGAATGCCCTTTTTGGGCTTAATGAATATTAATTTGTATTAGAAGCTTATTACGGGTCTCGATGGCCTTAAGTCTACCTACCCCTAGTGCCGATCCGGCTTAACGAGTCATGACACAGGTCTATTCCTTTGATCATTTTCTTTGGCATAGTTGCTTTGCCTCTTTTTTGCATAGCCTTTTAATCAATGTTTAAATTTTGAAAACTCTATAAATAAAAGTATTTTATTAATTTTTAATAATAATATAAAAGTTTTGCAAATACAATGAGATGCTAGATATGTGTGTGTTTGCCGTATTATTATTTCGAGTTTATTTTATGTTTGCAACAGTTTCAAGAGTTTTACACTTATTCAAGTCTTAGCATAAAAAAATGGGTGACAAATAATTATTAAAAATAATTGAGTATCTAAGGTTGTAAATATGCTAAACCGAGATATAGTGAGTTCGAGCTTAGAAATCAAAATTCAGGCTTGATTTGATAACCATAGAAATCTATCAAACAAAAACGATATTGTTTTAATGTAAATTTAATTAATTTTAACTTGTTGAACTAATTTGTGATCTTAGATTGTCTCAATAAAACTGACTCATGAGCTTGGCTCATAAAATTGGCTCACGAGTCAATTTGCAAGCTAATGAGTTGAACTCAAACTCGGACTTAATAAATTTATTGAACGAGTTTTTTTGAAGATGAACTTCAAAAGCTAACAATCGACTCATCTCATTTGCAACCTTACGAAAATGTAAATTTTATATATTTAATTTAGTATTTTTAATTTTTATTTAAAATAAATTCAATAATCTTTTTTAGATCATTCTAAAAAACTAAAAAAAAGAAATTATTTTTTATATCGATTGCGATCATTTTTGTGCCGAAGTGAATTAGTGGGTGGTTATCCTCACATACCTATCCAAACTTAAATCAAAAAAAAAAAAAAAAAAAAAAAAAATCACATAATCTTTTTTAGACTCATTCTAAAAAACTAAAAAAAGAAATTAAATATTAACTCCCTTTATCGATCGATTCGTATATTTTTGTGCCGAATTGATATTAGTGGCGTGTATCCCCACCATAACATACCAAATAATCCACCACAAACTTAAATCAAAATAAAAAAAAAATAAAAAAAACAAAAACAAACTCACATGTCCCTTAATTTGTGTACGATTATAAGATTTTCCGCAATAAAGTAAACTACCACCCGTGGGACATAATCGGAAAAAAAAAAAAAAAAAAAAAAAAAAATCAAATGTCTAATTGTGTACGATATAAGATTTCCATAAGTAAATAACGTGGGACATAATCGGTATTTCATAAAATCCACTGTCTACATAAAAGATTTTCCAAAAGCCAAAACAGTCTTTTAGTTTCCCTCTCAAAATCGTGGCGCCTCCTTTTTCTCTGCTAGGGTTTTTCAAATCTTTCCCTTGCTCTCTTTCAATTCCTAAGCGAATCAATCACTTTATCCTAAATCTAAAACATTCCAAATTTTCCGATTAATTTGTTCTTTACGGGGACGATGAATCTGTCGGAGGGAGCGATAGCCAAGATAACCAGCGGCGGAGCAACCGCCGCAGAACTGAAGCCAACGTTGCAAGTGACGGAGCTGAAACAGGTGCAAACGAAGCAACCCCAACAGAGTGACCGTTTTCGGTTGGTGCTATCAGATGGGTCTCATTTACAACAAGCCATGTTAGGCACTCAGATTAACCATTTGGTTAAAGATGGAAACTTGCGTGCTGGTTCTGTTGTTCAGTTGATTCAGTATACTTGCACCACTGTCCAAGGCCGCATGTGAGTATATTAATTAGAATTAGAAGGGTGATTTAGAGTCAGTTTTCATTTAATTATTTGTTTTTATCTAGCAAATTATTTCAATTTATTAATGAGGTATTTTATTGGGTCTTATAAAAGTTTTTCCCTTTTTTTCTGATGATACTATATTGGAATGTTTTTCTGATCAATAATCCCCATATTTTTGTCTTCTTGGTTTTTTTTTTTTTTTTTTTTTTTTTTTTTTTTTTAGTTTTTCCCTTTTTTTATTGACTTGATACATAATATTGCAATGTAGCAACAATACAATCCCCATTATTTTTATCTTCTTGCTTTTTTTTTTTTTTTTCTGCTCCTTTTTTTTTTTTTCCAGTTTGTAATTGGAAACTTGTTGCACAGTAATCTCTCAAAAGACTTGGTTGAAAGTCTAACTATTGCGTGGGTTGTTAATGGATGGGAACTTTGTTAGATTACATTGATCTTCACAGTATAAATTTCTGAATATTATGGGTATGTAAATACTCTAATTTCGAACCTATTACTTGTGACTCTTATTTCTTCTGGAGACAAATGGTGCCGTTTAATGGGAGAAGAGTAGTGTTTTGGTGCCTGATTGAAGTTGGATTCATTTTCTTCACGGTTATTTTCTCAAACCCAAATTGGTCTGTTGAATACAGGGCTGTTTGCAATGCTTCGCCGCCTGGATATTACACGAAATCTTTATTCTTCATATGTTAAACTTTATGGACCGATTGCCAATATATTCTCTACAGGGAATAGCAAGCACCTTACATTATTTTGGAAACTTTAATTTATTTTGTATAACTATAGTCAGTTCATGTCTACCATGGTAACCCAATAATTTGAATACAGCCATCTTCCCCGCAAGTCTCTAAAAGAATCTCCACACTTAGTTTCATGAAAATTAGCAGCAGTCTTTTTTTTTTTTTTTTTTTTTTTTTTTTTTTTTTTCCGTTGTAATTGGAAACTTGTTGATAACTCTCAAAGATTGGTTGAAAGTTCGAACTATTGCTTGTTAATGGATGGGAACTTGTTAATTACTTGATTTCAGTAAATTTTGAACTATTATGGGATTGTTATTATGACCATTACAGTTTGACTCTCTTTCTTCTGGGAAAATGGTGCCCGTAATTGGAGAGAGTAGTGTTTTGGTTGAATTGAAGTTGGATTCATTTTTCAAGTTATTTTAAACCTCCAAATTTGGTTGAACATCACAGGGCTGTTGAATTTTGGCTGGTATGACACGAATTTTATCTTATCATGTCTTTTGGAGATTGCATATATTTCTCACGGGAATGCAAGCACCTTCTTATTTTTGGAACATTTATTATGATATTTTGTTATGTCATTCAGATGGTCAATATTTGAATCAGCATTTGATTCTAAAGAAACTAGTTCATGAAAAGTAGCAGCAGCATGTGCCTTCGGTTTCCGTAACTAGTTTGTTGAAGATGCATTGTTGGATGGCATCATTTCCCTACCCACAACAACACACATACTGAGGCAGAAATGTGCTTTGAGATCCATGAGATTTTAGTTTGACCTATGGTTCAATAATGATGAAGATCTTAGCAAAAAGAGGAACTTTCTTACTAGAAATTTCAGAAATCTGAATATCTGTTATATTGCTTGTTTTTTGTTCAATGCTGTGTCATATTTTCATTGATAACTTTATGATTTATTTTTGACTTGCCTTGCTAACAGGATTATAATCATCCTGGAATTGGTTGTTGTAGTTGAAGAGTGTGCTCTAATTGGACATCCAGTGTCAGCACAAAAGTCTTTGGGGCCTTCACAATCCTCCACTGACCAGCCAGTTAACAACCCTGCAAATCCTCAATCATTTGGTAATAGCTCACTTTCAGGTGGGATGGTTGGAAACCCAAATTTGACTGTGGCATCTGCACAAAACCCTAGAATGAATCAGTTACATGGTAATTCCTATTCCAGCAATTATGACTCTGGACGATATGGTGCATTAAATGCACCTCCATCGCACGTGAAAGCAGAACCTGGTGCAGGACTTTCTGGAACCACTACAATAAATGCAGCCTACAATGATCAGAATGCTGGCTTTCACAATGCTAGACCTGAAATTTCACATCCTTCTGGCACTTCTACTTGCCCATCTCTGCCAGCATATCAACAACCACCTCCTATGTATTCTAATAGAGGACCAGTGGCTAGGAATGAAGCTCCACCCAGGATAATGCCGATTTCAGCACTCAATCCATATCAGGGTAGGTGGACAATTAAGGCAAGGGTGACGGTAAAAGGAGAGCTGAGACACTACAATAATCCCCGTGGTGATGGCAAAGTGTTCTCTTTCGATCTTCTCGACTCTGATGGTGGAGAAATTAGAGTAACCTGCTTTAATGCTGTAGCTGACCAATTTTACAACCAGATTGAAGCTGGGAAAGTTTATTTGATTTCCAGGGGAAGTTTAAGACCCGCTCAAAAGAATTTCAACCACCTTCACAATGATCTAGAGATATTTCTGGAGATCGGTTCAGTAATTCAACCATGTTTTGAGGATGACAACTCAATTCCAAGGCAACAATTTCATTTCCGTTCCATAAGTGAAGTTGAGAGCATGGATAATAACAGTATTGTGGATATAATTGGTGTGGTGACTTCAATTACTCCTGTGGCTTCAATAATGAGGAAAAATGGCACAGAAACTCAGAAGAGAAGCCTCCAGTTGAAAGACATGTCAGGTCGTAGTGTTGAATTAACGCTTTGGGGAAATTTCTGTAATGCAGAAGGACTAAGGCTGCAAAATATTTGCTACTCTGGCTGTTTTCCTATTCTAGCTGTAAAATCTTGTAGAGTTGGTGATTTCAATGGGAAGGCAGTTGGGACTATTTCCACAAGTCAACTGTTTATCGACCCTGATTTCCCAGAGGGTCAGAGGCTAAAGGAATGGTTTGAAAAGGAAGGCAGGAACATCCCTTCTGTCTGTATTTCAAGAGAAATGTCTAGTGTGGGTAGGACAGACGTTCCAAAAACTATTTCTCAAATCAAGGATGAGAAATTAGGGACTTCTGAGAAGCCAGATTGGATCACTGTTGGAGCAACTGTGATCTTCATTAAGTCTGACAGCTTCTGCTATACAGCTTGCCCCATCATGGCTGGCGACCGACCATGCAGCAAGAAGGTCACAAATAATGGGGATGGGAAGTGGCGGTGTGAGAAGTGTGATCAGTCTATGGATGAATGTGACTACAGATACATACTCCAGTTTCAGATACAGGATCATACTGGCATCACATGGGTGACCGCGTTTCAAGAGAGTGGCCAGGAGATTATGGGCATATCTGCAAAAGATCTGCACTTTTTGAAATATGAAAAGCAAGATGATGAGGGTTTTTCAAAAATTATTCGACAAGTTCTGTTTAGTAAATTTCAGTTCAAGTTGAAAGTAAAGGAGGAAACGTTTAGTGATGAACAGCGTGTAAAGTCCACTGTGGTCAAAGCAGAAAAGGTGAATCATTCATCTCATTCTAAGTTTCTTTTAGATATGATTGAAAAATTCAAATCAGGGAATTACACACTTGCTTCCAACCCAGAATCTGGTTATCCTAATACTGGAGCAAATAGCACTGGAATTGAAAATGTTGGAGGTAGACAAGGTGGACCTGTAGGATCTAATCAAGTGGGCACTAACAGCTATGCAGCTAGAGAATCTGGTTCACTGTCGAACCAAGTGGGTCAGTACGGAAACCAGTACAGCACTAGGTTTCCTACACATGATCTGTCATGTAACAGCTGTGGTGCTACAAGTCACAACTCTGCAAATTGCCCTAGTATTATGAATGCTCCAAGGCAGTCTGTGGGGGCTGGGGTCTATCCTAATAGAGGATCTTCTTTGGCTGGCGGTGGTGGTGCTGCAGGTGAATGCTATAAATGCCATCAAATAGGGCATTGGGCGAGAGACTGCCCTGGCCTTAGCAGTGTTACTCCAGCTTATGGCAGCTCTGCCATTTCCTCGGGTGGGAGGTTGGGTGGTATTTCAAAGCAACAGGTTGGTGGCTTCTAAAACACCTGGAAAATAAGGCAGTAGGAGTTTGTAAAATATGGTGTCTGCTTTTTTGAAATATAACTGATAGCTCATCTGATTTGGTGTTCGGGTTCTTGATTGAGTGCAGCTTTCTGAGCTTTCTCTGTACAGAATGTTGGTACCTTGAATGGCATCTTTAATTTTGTTTTGGTAGACTTTGCCAAGGATGCTATGTGCCACACCTACATTATCTAAGAATTAGATCTTTTGTCTTTTTGGCTTTTGTTCATCCTGTTCAAATTGTTAATATATTATTTATGTTCTGCTTTAGTTTGTAGGTTTGCGAACTTGGTTTTTTCAAATAAACTTTTCATGTATGCTTTGCCATCTCTATCCTACGAAGTTCTTCTTAATTTAACTTAGTAACTTAGGGTGAGTTTACTAGAATTAATTTTTTAAGGTTTGGCATAATTTACAAAATTTTCCTTTTATTTTAGGAAACGCATTAAATCATCTTTATAATAGTGATTTATTAAATCATTATTCCTTCCATAGCCTAATCTTAGTCATTAGGTGTCATAATCACTTCAGTAAAATATTCAATTTTAAGAAGTAAAAATAAAATTCATTTTTAAATTCTTTTTTCTCCATAATTTCTTAGGAACAAGTTTAAGTTTAAGAAATGTGGATAAAATGGAGGAGTGGCATTTGTAGAAATAAAATGTTTTCTAATTTGTTATTCCAACCTAATCAAATATATTTAGTCTGTTTTTGATTCGTTAAATATGAAATACACAATTTTCACGGTTTAAAAACATAACACATTGCTTCACAAAAAATTCAAAATTTAATGTATTCTCCAAATAGAGGACTAGAGTTATTGATTAGGTCAAATCTCAAGTACTAATTAGTAATTGACCCTTCAACTTATTGGCTATAGTTGGCTATGGTTTCTAAAACAAATCTGTGTTTTTCTTTGAAAAGAACATATTGTATTTGAGCAAGCCATTCTATTTAGCATCTGAGGAATCAAAACCAGAACAAAAATAAAACAAAAATTATGGTGAGGAATTAGCATTTTTAAATTCACTGGAAACATTAATGGAAGCCATAATAGGTGGAATTCCCCCTTTGAAGTGGAGTAAACTTCACTGTGTATGATACCATTACACTGCTCGACAAATAGAAATTCTGATTGCTGCCATTTATGTTTATCCAAGGAAGAAATGAATTCTGCACTTGGACTGATTAGTAAAGCTGAATTACTCATTACGTATACAGCATCACAAACGCACAGTTCATACATATGTGCTGAAGGTTGAATTGCCTATATTTATTCCCAGTGCTTAGTAGTTTTTTTTCCCTATTACTGGTTGCAGACTGTGATGTTAGTAACAGACATCAGTTGATGATGGAGTAGGCCTAGCTGCCTTGATGCAGAGCGGATCCCATATCCTCCCTTCTGTACCACAGGGACTGCCTGCAATGCCACTAACCTGGGTTGAACTATACCCTGCAACCGCGGCAGCAATCGCTGTCTTCGCTGCTACTCTATCCCTCTCAGCCACTGCTTTCAGCCGGTGCCTCTCAGCTCTAGAACCAATGACCTGTCCTATGATAGAAGCTCCAATAGTCAGTGCCATAGCAGTTTTGGGCATCACAACTGACTTCCTAAGCATAGCTATGAAGGGCACAGCTGCATGCACTGCTGCAAACCATGAAAGTGAAAACTTCTTAGTATGTTCCTTCCACATGCCCAGAGGCACATTCACTGCCATGCCCAAAAGAGCAATAACAAGCATCTTTGCTGGTAGTGGCTGCGGTCGCAAGTTTTTAACCAGGGCAGTTCTGGCCAGGGCTGCCCTTGCAGCAACTACAGCAGGTGGACATCTAAGCTTCACACCAGGTGGTGGCCGAAGAGTTGATGCCACAAGTGGGAGTACACCACTCACAGCTCTATAAGACTTGGCAATTGGGCAGTTGCCTGTTTCTAACCACTCATTTCCCAGGGCCTCATGTTTTGAGCCATTTCCTTTCTGGTGGATCAGAAACAAAACATGGAATAATTAGAATTGGGAAAATAATCAGTTTCAAAAGGCACATGAATAATAAAGTCTACAGTTAGATATTAACTTCTATATGTTTTCTGCAGGTAGAACAGAAAACCAATTTCTAGTTAAATTGAGAACATTAGATAAATGTAATTAAGTTGGAAAAGAATCTCAAATTTAGGGCCACTGAAAACACAAACACAACAGTTGATGTGAATACTCTTGAATGCAGGTTCATTCCTTTAATTGGATCAGAGGCACATTTGCAAAAGCCACCTTGTGCAAACATTTAATCTCTCTCTCTCTCTCTCTCTCTCTCTCTCTCTAGTGTTTTTGTTTCAAAATCATTCCCATTGTCACAATAAGTTAACTTGAAAACTAATTACTAAAGAATTTGCATTTACCTGAGAAGATGATTCACCCTTGTTTGTTGATTCGGCTTTCTTCTTTTGATTCTTCCACTTATCACTGAAGGAACCAAAGCCAAAGGGTCCGCCAGGACCAAATGCAGACAAACTAATAGTAGCAGCTTTTGCTGCTAAGGGGTTGAACTGGGGTGAAGAGTTGGGTTCCAAATTGTCATTATGGAAACTAGACCTGTTTGCGAGTGGAACAACCCCATCTGTCCCATGAAACAGCTTAAATGCCGTATCAAAGTTTGGACCATCTTCAAATATTGGACCTTTGGTTCCCCTCGCCTGGAGAAATAGTAGATATCATCGATTAAAATAAAGACAAAAATTAGCTTTAATAATTGCAAGTTAAAACAGAATTACAAAGGCCAAAAGAGAAAGGTAAAAGAGCTACTAATGATACAGCAACAACTTACAGGACTGGCAAAATTCGCAGAAGAGAATGAAAAGCTAGTTGGCTTGTTAATGTTCCTCAAGAATGGGCATCTCTGAATCGTCTTCTCATCAAAGTTGCAGTCAGATGGGTCCTCATTCATTCCCTTGAACAAAAAATCCATTGATTCTTGTTCTAAAAGCAATTTGTCGTAACTAACTTGAGAAGTTAATAAAAAAATGGGAAAATAAATAAAATCTGGTATGAAACAATAACAGCTAGAAACTACAACAGAATTCAATTAAAATAATCACAAAGCACTGAAGGTTCAGAATTTTGACATGTTCAACATCTAAGTGAAAAAAAAAAAAAAGGCATCAATCAACTTGAGAATACATTAATCCCAGAGTTAATTTTCAATAAGAATATAAAAAGAACGCAAATGTAAAATGAAAGCAAATGAATTACGTTTAGCTGGCATAAACAGTGACAAACAAAAAAACTCAAAATAATTCAAGAAAAAGTGGTTGAGTTAAGCATTTATCCAGCAATTCCTAATTGTCATTACAATTGTTCAACAAGAAAATAGGCTGAAACATCATCTAAAGATATTCTTTTGATTGATCTATTGCTTTGAATGTCCCGGAATTCGTACATAATTACACAATAATACAGCAAAATAAATAAACCGATATGAAATCATGAAATTTCCTGTTGACCCAAGGAAAAAAGGGATTGATTGAAAATGAGCCAAAATTCAAACTCTACAAACAAAAACTGAGAACAATTTAATAGAATTAAAATAAAAAGAAAGAAAGAAATCAAATTTCAATCTAAACAATTCAATCCCAGATAAGGGAGAGGGAAAAAAAAAAAAAAACAATTATTAGGAACAAGCGAATCAAATTTCAGATGAGGAAAAAGCATAAGAAAAGATCATAAAACAAAAGTTGAGCATTGATAACAGCTAAAACAGAGGACGGAAAAGAAGAAAGTCACCTCGAGAAATATGGAGACCAACCGGAGAAGTGGAAAGAGACGTCAGACGTGTGGCGGACACAGGCGCGTTGCAGAGGAATGTCAAAATGTGGGTATTTTGTTAGGTTTACATATCAACAGCTTATTTTTTATTATTTTATTATTTCACGTCGCTTTACTTGTGGCTGAGGCTGTGGTGTCAGTTGTGGTTACCGATTCAGACCGATCCGTATTTATTTAACATCCCTATTATAACAAAATATACTTTTTTTCATTAATTTTTTAAAAATTATAAAAAAATAATAATATTACTATTGCAAAGCTATAAACCAATTTAATAGAAGTTCTTAGAATTTATTTTAAAAATTATAATAAAACAAAAAAAAAAAACAATTTGGAAGTTTATTTAATAACATATTTTTCACGGTTTTAAATCATAACTGTCGGTTTTAAATTAAAATTATCGGTTTCGATATTAAAAAATAAAGAATCAAAATCAAACTTTAAATGTATAGTTTCGATTACGGTTTAAAACTCACAATTGTTGACTATGATTTAGAGTCGGGTTTTAATCGGTTCGATTTTAATTTGATTACGATTTAAAACCGAATCGTGATTATCACTTTTATGTAGTTCATCATTCCAGCATCTATGCATATTTCTTCTTTTTTTTTTTTTTTAAAAAAAGCTTTAATATGATTTTACTTTTGATTTTGGTTCCAATTTTCCGTTTGTTTTCAATAAAAAAATGAATTTAAGAATTAATCAAAATTAACTTTTAAAAATTCAACCGTGAATAATTGATCAAACTCTTCCATTTTTTATTTGTATAATTAATCAAAATTGATTTTTCGAATTCAATTATTTATTCAAATCAACATGAATAAAATTATCTTTTTATATTTAATTAAGAATTCAAAATTGAATAATTAATAAAAGTCAATTAAGTTATTTTCTAAAATTCTTTTATTGATCGATTAAGATCAAACTGAACTGTCGATTTCAGGTCAATTTGGATATGTTTTTTTTCCCTTTCTTCGAATTCGTTCTTTGAATCATGATTCTTAAAAATGACAATTTCTAAAACTAATTACCACCTCAATATTAAAATATGGTTGATTCTTAAAGGTTGAGTGAAAAAAAGCGTCGTCTATGGGAAATTTAAAAAAAGTATTTCATGTCTTATTAATGTGAAACATTTTTTCAGAATCATTATTATTCTAAGAGCTATTAAAAAGGTCTACCTATTATAATATTATTGTTTTTTGGTTGGCCTAAGAGGTGCACTCCAAAGTTAGATATGCGTGCCTCTAAGTTAGAAGCATGTGTTCTACTGAAAAAGATGCAAACCCCTACGTTAAATACGTTCTTTTCTTTTCTTTTCTTTTCCCTTTTTTTCTTTAACAAACTATTTCATTATTCTATTTTCTTAATAGATTAATTGCAAATTAAGTGTATAAATTTTTTAAACTTTCTATTTTGATATATCAACAGAAAATGTTTACAATTAAGTATTCTGAACTACATAAAAGTTTTTAAGTCTCTGATAATTACATGGCTAGTTAAAATTCTGATGAGGGCAATACATATGCCTATACAACTACTTAAAATTAGTTGAGTTGGCGCCAACTCAAATAAAAATACTCACTCAGTTTAATATCACTTGCATGACTTATTCAAAATAAGATTTTTTTTTTCAGAAAGAGGGCATCATCTTCACTCTCAGGATGATGTTGTTTCCCTTTGTCACTATCTCTATGTTCCTCCCTCTCTATCTTTCGCACCTCATTTTCCACCACATCCTTATTCTCCTCTCCAACCACTCATCAACTATCCCCTTTATTCGCCCTCGAACCCATCTCTTCTCTCATAGGCCACTTACTTTTTGAGCTTGATTGTCACACCATCATCTTTCATCTTAAAGTCCAATGCCTCATCTCAAATATCTATCTACCAACACCTAAATCAACCATAATTGCAACATGAAAACCTCATCTCAAAGTCTCCATAAATGCATACAAGGCCCAACTTCTTAGTTAGGGAAGCCAACAACGATGAGTTCGACACTTAAAGCGATGGGGTGGCTGGGAGGAGAGCCCAAACAGTCGTTAGAGATGGATTCCTCAAGAACTAGTTTGTAAATTCCTTTCATTAAATCAATCACAGGTTTAGTGAACATAGTTGAAGCTAAGTGTTCTTTCCTACAATCACAAATTTTGATTTTTTTACAACTTGTGTTTTTGTTTAATGATAATAATGATAATGGCTAAATTGAAAGTCAATTATAAAAATACCAGTACAAACTCCAAAAAACAAGTGTTCTTTCCTTTATTCAATCTAATTTATGAATTCTGAAGTTATTTTTCCTTTGATTTGTTCTATCCTCAAATTTGTTGTTCTCATATTTATTCTTGAAAAGAAATATGAAGCCTCAATCAACTTTGTTCCTCAAATTCTATTTGAGCTACTTCGTTCCTGGTCTTCTTATTCTCTCCGCTTCCCCAGCCAATGTCTTTTTGCTTGATCAAATGGTTTCAAATCCTCTTTACTTATATATACATAAAGCTTCATATATGATGCTGAATTCTATCATTTTACTGGTTTATGATTTAAAGGTTACATCTTTTAGATATTTGGTATCGAATTTTTATGTTCAAAAGAGGAAAGTTTTGTTAACGACAGAGGAGAGACAAAGAGAGAGAGGAAGGGTAAAGGATGATATCAAATTTTTGCAATTACAACAAATCATAACAAGTAATAGAATAGAGAGTAAAATATCGTTTACACAAGGATCATATATCAAGTACCATAATTGTATTGATCTACTATTATTTAAATGATAATTAATATGATTGTTTGAAAATTAAAAAAAAAGAAATAAAAATAAAACTTAAAGAAATCAAATTCAAAAAAATTGCTAAGAAATTCAAGGATTTAAGGCTACTAGGGAGTTTGGCTTCATTTAATTCTATCAAATTTATGTCATTAGTTCAACAATTAATTTATTGTTCATGATCAAAGAAATAACCTAAAAATCACTATTAATTTTTTTTTTCAAGAATTTATTAATTATTTTAATCTAATTCTATTACCTATTTCTCAATAACTATAATCAAATACAACTTAAATCATTAAGATCAAATATTATTTAAGAAAAATCTCTCATGAATCAAACCTTGACTTTCACATTAGATTATTGTTCCTATGAAATTTATTATTTTTTTTCTTATCAATAATCCTTTTTTTATAGTAATTATTGAAATAAATCAATCTAAGAAGAAACTCAATTTGGAAGTATTAAGTATAATAATAAACTTTATCATGAACAAATAAAATAAAATCTAATATTATAAATTAAATCGAAGTAACTTACATCAAATCCTTAGAACAAAAAGATTAGTTAAATATTGTGGAGAAATCAAACGCAAACAAACTTGTAAATGTTCTAAAAACTATAATAAAAATTGAAAATAAAAACAAGATGGGTCTAAGAATAAAAACTTGGTGATGCTTAACTTGCTCCTCATATCTTGATCTCGACAATTAAATGTTGCTTGAAGACTTGAAGCTCAAGAAAATAAGAATAATGTAGATAACATGAAAAGTGTGTAAAAATTAGACCATTTTCTTTGAGTGATAGCTTCCATTTTATACCTTTCAACTAGGTCTTCTTAAAATTAATTAGAAAAATTATTTTTCTTGCTTAGGCAGATCTCTAACCTTATTAGGAAAAGAGTCTTGTATTTATTCCAAAATAAGAGACTCATGTGCCTAAGTAATATCAAAACTCAAATATGGCAATTCATTACGTGAACTCATGCAAAACTATGCAAAAATCATGTCCCAACTCGCACTTGACACATAGTCTACATTCTAACTACAATCTAACACACCTGAGTGTACTATTTAGCACAGACATGGTTAGGTCGTGCTTCTTGCTGCCTCCCCATGAAATCGTCCTCTTTCCCTTCATTGTTAATTCCATTCTTCCTTGTTGGCATATTTAGTACTGCCACTATTTTTTACTTTAGAAAAAAATTTTCATTTAGGGTGTTTTTTTATATAGAGAACTTGCTCTAAATGATAAATTTGGGAATGATGTCAAAAGAGAAAGTCTAGAATATCCTTTAATAATCTCTATTACTACCTTTTTTTAGCTTGGTTAACGAACATAGTGGCAGGCAAAAGGTAGGTTGGCAATTAATAATCTTATGTTTCCAAAGCATGAGTAATGGTTATATTTATGAATGGTTTGGTAATGTGCTTGACGAATCTAAGCACGAATAAGAGAACGTACACTGACCATGTTTCATAATACGGCCACACATTTTAATTATTGTGCTACTTATAAAAAAAGTCTTTATGTCCATATCACACTTTTGATTTGGGCACAAATTTAAATTTTTTCCAACAAGATTGATTGTAATGCTTTGTTGACTAAATTTATACTCAGTTTTCAAGAAGTGTTCACTAATTTAAGCATGAAGCGCGAATATGATTAAGCATGAGTATTTTCGTTGGGACTTAGGCATAAAATATTATACCATATTTTTTAAAAAATTGCCTTTATGAGGATATTAACCCTTATTAATATGTGCACAAATTTTAATTTTGTGTTCCCATATCTAGTAATGTCTGATGACGTTTTCCTTCTTACTAGTGCCTTATTTTTAAAACGATGTAAATCTACTGAAATGTTCCACTTTGAAGTTGAGGAGACTCTTGCAGTCCTCAAAGATTTTGACAAATAAAATGCACCCTTGGAATATTCTATTAGTGAGTTGGCTTTCTCATCATTAATTATGTATTAAAGGCTGATTAGAGGTATTATCGATAAAAACTAGACAAAAAATTCTACTTAACTACTTTCTTAATCCAGAGCTTTTTTTGTTTTTTCTAAAGTAAGAGAACATAGGATTATTTTTTATCTAACATCCTTATAAAAACCTCTTAATACGAGCTCAAGATCATCAAGGAAACAAAATAAAAAATCAAGGAAGTTGAATGAGAAGGAATTTACATTCTATTGCTGTGAGATTTACATTACATAACACCCTTTATAAAGGTGTATAAGGTATGTATGAAAAGGAAAAGGAATCATAATGGGATAAAATAGGATTAGAATCATATACATAGTCATATACACTAGGATCAAATTCAGATACACTAGAATCTGA